CACGGCTGGTTGGTCGCTGCAGCGGTTCACAGAAGACGTCCAAACGAACCGGGAACTTCTCTTCTACAAGCATCCGGAGGTTGTGCGGGCCCTGTACAGCTTCGATTTTGGCAGTGGCCGCCTGTCCCTGGCACATCTGCAACGCCGGACGCAAGCTCAGATCGACCATTGGACGCGCCTCCACATGGACCTCACGGGAGCCAAAACGTCGGGAACGACGGCGACAACACTGGCCCACGCCATGTCGCCGGAGGCCTTAGCCGGGGCCTTGGACATGCTCTCGATTTACACCGAGCGCTACTGTGCGCCGGTGGTGCAGCAGTTTGTCGCAAAAGCGGGTCGTTTACTCCGTCACATGATGAGTGAAAGCCAGGTCACCGCCCATACGGCCAGCTATGTGGCCCGGTGGTTCGACTGGGCGCTCGAGTGCTTTCGCTTGGATATGGCAAACGACGTACGGGGCGACGCGGCAGTCCTCACGCATTGGTTCTCGCACGAACACCTCCACACGAGCTCGCCGATGCTCGTGTCCATGGCCCGTTCGGCACAAGATAGCCGCATCCTCGAGCTCATGGCCAGCCAAGCGAAACCGCAGCGCAGTCCCAAGACCAAAGATGGCGTGGCCAAGGACGGCACCAATCGGGTCAGCTCGTCGATCAAGCAGCTGGTTCCCAAGCTCAACAAGATGGAGCTCTGCTTGCGCTATGTGTCCAACAAACGGTGTGAAGGCAAGCAGGCCTGCAAGAACCCAGGTCAAGGTCAGAAGCGGGCCCACTTTACGCCCAGTGAGCCGCTGGACCCCAGCGTAATCGAGTACATCAACGAGTCGCTGGGAGGTCTGCAGAAGCAATTCATCCAGCTCGACGCGTCGGCGTGAAGGTGCCAGGGTGGGCTTGGGAACCCACCTGGCGATTCAACCCAAAAGGCCGTCGCGCCGCGAGCGGTGCCACCGCAGCCGCCACCAACGGGACTCTCCTCACGTTCAGCGCATCCAGCGGTTTTGGCTTCGGCTACTCCGGTCGGTGTGTCGCCCCTGCCCGGTGCCTCGCAACGCGAGCCCCGGATACAGGCCGCGGCCGCCCCACTGGTTAACAGCAACGAGGCGGCGGTGCTCCACGAGCGCCAGCTTCGGGTCCGCGTGATGCAGGCGTTCTTGCAACGTCGGTCGCGCGCCACCTTGCGAAACGCAGCACCACCGGGGGACACTGTGGGGCCGGCTTCGGCTCCCCCACAGGCGATGTCGACTGCGCCTCCTTCGGGAGCTCAGTCCCACGTCTTGGCCCGAAACCCGGACGCAGCGTACAACAGCACTCCGGTGCTGGAAAGGGTAAGCCACGCTATGGACACGGCACCGCCTGCCTTAGGTCACCCATCGGTCGACCAGGCGTGCGTCCGTGCGGCGGTCGGGCAAGAGTCAGTCCTTTGTGTGGACATCTCAATGACGCATCAAGTTGCGCAGCATTTGAGCACGCGCTTGCAACTACACCTCCGTATTGCTCACGAGCGCATCAACATTGCGTTGCGCGAGGCGCGTCTCCCGGCTCTATCAGCTCATCCACCCGACTCGGGCGACCTCGACGAGGCCAAGATCGAGCGCATCTCGCAGCTTGTTCTGCGTCAGAAGCTGACACCCGAGGCAACCGTCCGTCTCTTGCGGGGTCAGTGTGTGGCAGATCCACGTCCAAATAAAGCGCTCTTCCCCGCCGAGTTGGAGCGCATCCTTCAAGGCTACCCGCATCGTGCTGACCTCCTGGCGGTAGCAGCAGCTGGCTTCGCGATCCCCACGCGATCGATCGCGCTTCCACCACCCTCGCGTCAGAAGAACCACAAGTCGGCAGAAGCGCATGGCGCTACCGTGCGGAAGCACCTAGCAGATGGTCAAGCTCGCAACGAGTACGCCTTCTTTACCCAGGGTGTCCTCGATGCATGGTCAGCGGCTGGCCACAACATACATCTGAGTCCGCTGGGTCTTGTCCCGAAGAATGACGCCAGCCTCAACGTGGACGGCCGCGTCATTCATGACCTATCAGCACCCGCAGGCTTGTCGGTCAACGACGCAACCGACAAAGACCTCTTGCCGGACGTCCGTTGGCGACGCATCACCGAAGTCGCGTCGCGCATCATCGCGCTGCATCTGCGTTTGACGGACGACATGACCATCGTGGGCATGGCCGGCGACGTCAAGAGCGCGTTCCGGCATCTGCGCGTGGCTGCCGCGGACGCGCATTGGCTCGGGGCACAAGTACCAGGGTCTAGTCATTGGGGTTTAGACCTCTCGGGGCCGTTTGGTTGGTGTGGGAGCCCACCGTACTACGTCGTCTTTGGTCGGGCAATCTCCCATCTCGTCTCGCAGGAGTCACCTCACTCACTCAACCCGTGGCGGGACCAGGACACCGAGCCCTTCTGGACGCTGGAATGGATGGACGATCACATTCTCATCGAGCTGGTCTCGCGAACGCCCGACGGCGTGGTGCCGATCCGGGCCAGTGCGGCCGAGACATCTCTACGCCTCGCCATGCTGGCCATCCTAGGACCAACAAGCATCAATGAGAAGAAGTTCAAGGCATGGTCGAGCGACCTCCACGCGTTGGGGCTTATTTGGCACCTCAACGACGCAGCCGTCTCGATGCCTCCGGGGAAGGTCGAGAAAGCCAAACACCGGGTGGACGCCCTCGTGCATAAAGGCACGGCTCGCAAGACGGACCTTCTCCAAGCTCTGGGCTCGCTCCGCCACGTCTGCTCGTGCGCACCGGCAGCCCGAGCCTTCTACCAACGGCTGCACAACGTCGCGGTGCGGGCAGACAAGTACAAGACCTTTCGACTCCCGCCGACCGCACTACGCGACCTTGAGCTTTTCCAGGCCATTCTGGCGCAGGCTGACTTTGCTCGCGTACCCGCGGCCATCTTCGATCGCTCCTCCGAGCCCGACTTGCACCTGTACATGGACGCGAATGACCAATATTGGCCTGGTCGTTCTCGATTTGGCTCACAAGCGTTACATCCAGCTGTTTTTCGACGAATCCGAGCGCGCCATGATTCGTGACGTCGCCCAACGATCGGCTGGCAGCGACGCGTCAGCGCAGCCTCCCTTCTCGATCAACGTCCGGGAGCATTTGAGCCTATGCCTCGCGGTCAGCATATGGGCGCCGCTCTGGGCGGTCGACAACCGAGCAACGGTCCACGTGCACGGATGGATCGACAACGCGTCGAGCGTCGCATGGACGAACAAACTCGCAGCCGAGAGCGTCTTCGCCCAGGAGCTCAACCGCCGCCTGGCGCTCGCGCAAGCGGTGCACCGTTTACACGTCACGGCGGGCCACATGGAAGGAGCACGCAACACGATGGCATACCACGGATCACGCAGCCTCGAGGAACCGCATCGGTCCGCGTGGCGCCGCCTCGCCACGGGTTGGCAGGCATGGGAGGTACCCGCGCACCTCCGCTTCATGTACCGGCAGTCATCCGCGACTTCCAAGACGCTGCACTGGCCACGAGCACGCGAGGAAGGTACGCAGCTGCTTGGGAACAGTGGCGCGCGTGGCGGGAACGCCAAGGCTACCATCCATGGCTCTCACCCGACCAACGCGAGCAGTCCAATGGCCTCATCAACTACGTCCTCTACCTCCGCGACCAAGGAAACTCGGCGGGCACCATCCGATCCAAACTTTGCGGCGTCGCTTGGCATCATCAAGTGCACCGAGGGTACAACGTGGCGCTGGAACCCGACCATCAGCTCGTCCTCCGAGGCATTGAACGAACCGATGGACCCGCCCAACGCAAGGAGCCCGTCAGCATCGGCATGCTCTGGCAAATGCGTGCCGGACTCGACTTCAACGTCCCCCAGCAGCGCTCACTCTGGGGGGCTGCGCTGCTGGGTTTCTTCTTTCTCCTGCGCAAGTCCGAGTACTTGCACGAAGGAGCCAGACCCGCCATGCACGGCATCCGGGTCAAGGACGTCCGGTTCACCACCCGCTTCGAGACAGTAGCGCGGACGGTGGACGAAGCTCACGAGGTTCACGTCACGATCCCGAGCTCGAAGACTGATCAACGTGGCGACGGCACGACGCTCCGTCTAGCTCGCTCGGGTAGCACATGGCTCTGCCCGATTCCAGCGCTGTGGGAGCTGCGAAGGCTGGCTCGAGGAGCTGGAGCGGTCGAAGACGACCCCCTCTGCATCTCCTTTGACCAACACGGTGTCGCCGTGCCGATCACGGAGCTCCAAGTCCGTCAGCTTCTCCGCAGTGCAGCCGCGAAGCTCGGCAAGGAACCGGCAACCTTCACGACGCACTC